TCTCTCTCTCTCTCTCTCTCCGTATATATGTGTGTGCTATGTTTTCCCTATTTCCTCCAGCGGATGTAAGGCAGTGCTGTGCTTGTCAAAGTTCTCCCGTCGCTTTTTTTTTTGCTTCTTCGATTTGCTCCTCAAGCCACGGCGCGCTGGGGCTCGCGTCCTACCCCTTCCTCCTCCTCCCGGATAGCCTCCTGTGCCGTGCGCAGGCACTCCTGCAGTTCGTACGACGCGACACTCGCGTCGTAGCACCGCTGACAGGTCTTATCATTCAGCAGCATCTTAAACAAGCGCACCAACTGCGTACGTGTCCCGTCAGTCTGGAACCCGTTGTCATCCTTCCAGTGCACGAAGAACTTGGAGAGAATCGGCATCGCACGGTATTCCAGCAAGGTAAATGGTGTCGTTTGCGATGGAACAATGTCTTCCAACAAACTAAGAATTTCGCCAGCGGTTTCATAAAACTCTGGAAAGACATCCAATACGCCCATGGCGACGGGAATAAAATCGGCGTCCTCGATAAGAGCATTTGTCGTCTGTTTACCTAACGCCGCAGGCGGAAGCCGCTGCGCATCATGCAAAATACGAATATGCTGTGGAAGTCCTTTATAGCGAGAAATATTCAAATTATTTACTGCGGCCTGTACACCGTCGGCGTCAATGAACTCCTTTCCCCCTTCCTTTGGGTAATGCCGCATAATGGACGAGAGCACAAGGGTGATGTAGCGCGTATCAGTTGGGTCCCCGGTGCTTTGTTTGTACGCCTCCACAATCTGCTTCACACCGTTCGCCTGCAAAATGCGGCGCTCCACATCTCCATCGTGGCGTTGGGTAAAACAAAACAGACAGATGGACCTAAGTGCCAAGACACGAGCGTATTCATCACGACTATGGCTAAGTGCTCGAAAAACCAATTCCACGCCATTTCGCTGGTTCACAAAGTACTCGTTAAGCGTTGGATACGCGGAGAGAAAGTTGATGAGGCGCAGAAACTCGTCCGGTTGGAAAAAGACATGTTTGCGCATCTTGCGCGTCCCCTCGCCAAGAAAGTCGTCGATGGCGAAGTTGAGGAGGTCTTTCCCGCCGGCCTCCAGAAGCTCCGCCTCCGGCAAGTTGGGTACGTCAAGCGATAGATCCATGTGGTCCACCAACACACGCGCCAGGTAGCCGTCGGCCAGCTCGTTGTCGGCTCGTAGCGCCGCAAGCAGGAAACGCATTTGCTTCGGGAACTCAAGTGGGCCAAATATCATGTCGGGCGGAAGCTCTAGGGCCATCGTCTCGGGGTCAACGTCGTGCAGCTCAATCCACTCCATAGTTTTCAGCAGCGGCCTCCGCACCCTTGACACCACCGTGCCGGCCATCTCGTCAAACGGCTCCCGGTTGCAGAAGTACATGGCAGCGCAGGTACTGCTCAGTACCCACGGCCACAGTTGATGAAACCGCTCCCGCGCACGCCCACGCGTGAACCACTCGGGGGCCCTCCGCATCATCTCCCCCCACAAATTTTCCTCAAAAGACGCAAGCTGTGTTTACCCCTCAGCAGCACCTTCCTCCTCCCCTCTGTGTGTGTGTCCCTGCCCCCGCGTCGATACACCTCCTCCGCCCACCACCCCAACGGCAACACACCAGGTGGGGCCGAAGCACCCAAAGCGTGAAAGAACGATACACAAAAAAAAAAGAATTGGTCAAACAAACAAACAACAGAGTAAGATACACACATCTAGATAACAACAGCAGTAAAGACAAGAAAGAAGTGGAAGCAGAGTGAACAATAAAACTGTTAAAAACGTCTCCTCCACGGCGACGTTGCATCCATCAAAAAACGCAATAACTTGCCCAGACTCACTTCCTTCCTCCATCACCGCGACGACCAGCCACCGCCACTCCGCGCTGGCGACTACTCTGTGGGAATAAGTGGTGCCAGCACACGCTCATACGCGTCACGTTGAACTACCAAATAACCATTTTCCTGGTGCACCACGGCCTGTCTCTCCCCACCCAAGGAAAGTGCGTTCAATAACACCTCCCGCTGAGGCCTACTGACATTTCGGAGCAGTACAAGGTCGCGCCTAAAAATAAGCCGCCGACACTCTTTTTCCCACGTCATTAGTTGGTCGCAGAACGACTGTGGAATGACCCCTTCAATACGGATATCGGAGGCATTTCTAAAGCGTTTCCCAGCTCCCGAGAGAGCCGAGTTTGTCGCCTCCTTGGACTCACCGTCCCCATAATGCTTCAACATGGACGGATGCGCCTTCACCGCAAGAAACTGCAAGATGTGCGAGGCACCAATACCACGTTTTAAAGCCGCTGCAAAGGTTCTCCGCGTAACTCGATAACATACAATCATCTGATCCACTTCGGCCTCCTTCTCCGCAAATTGATTGAGAATATTCAAAAGATCCAAATTTTTCGTATAGGCGTAGAGGCGAAAGTTGGTCTCGGTGATAATTGTGTCCTCATCCTCGCGACGGACGCGATGAGACGAGGTTCCTTCGCCACCAAGTAGCGCAGCCGTGCAGAGCGGAGCCGTGGAGCTCCAGCAAAGTGCATGGTGAAAGTGAGGTGACAACGCAAAGCAACGAAGACCATCCGAAAGTAGCGGGTACACAAGCCCCACCTCCGAAAGACGTGCCAAAAGTTGAAAGGCGGCTAAGTCCTTTTCTTTTTCGGGAAACATGTAGACAAATTGACTTGTGTCAAGGGCAAACAAAATAGCTAACAATTGCCATAGCTCGGAACGCGTTACCCCCTTGTTACTTGTTAATACCAATACGCGTTCTAGGACCACAGAAACCAACGTCCACCATTGCTGTTGTAAGGGCTGCATGCAAAAGCTCAACCCCTCCGAGGTAATCTCGTTCGCTTCAGACAACGGAGGAACGAGACGGGAATACTGCAACATGGCCGCAATGGGCTGTCCACGCTTCTCTCCACACGGGTCAATAGATCCCGCGAGGGCGCAGGCTGTCGTCATGCGAAGCACATTCCGACTTGCCTCCAAGGTGTTTTGCAAAGAGACTTGAGCAAGCGGCATTCGCGGCATTGACTTTCCATAAAGGCGAGCTTGCCATGCTAACTCGTAGAGCCGCCAATGGCCATCGCTGTTCTGGACAGGGTCCCACGCACACTCTAAGGCCACTCGGAGCGTGCGCCAAAAGGGATGGAGCGGTGCAGCTTCCTCCGCCTCCGCAAACACTCTCGCGGTAACCTCAGAGACTGTTGCGGCCGACAACAACACCGCCACCTCGTCCTTCGTAGCTAAGGGGTCGGTCACGCGCTTTCCGCCTTGAACCGCGGCAACAAATTCCTGGTAGCAGAAGAGTGCGAGGGCTGGGCACTGCGTCATCAGGGCCTCACGCTCCGGGTAGCACAACACCTGATCAAAGTAGGAAGCCTTCATCTTCGCTCGCTCTTTTGCTGTTATTTATGTTTCTCTGTCTGTCTGTGTGTGTGTGTGATATGGGCGTGACGCACTCCGCGCGTTTTACCGCTTCTCGGCGCCGACACTATCACTGCTCTGCGGCTGCTTTTGCCGCCGACGCAAGCTTCTTTTCGTCGTGCCACGTTACTTTTCAGTTAAGTCTCCTTTTCCCCGGGTAGGTGGGCTGCAAACACAGAGTCTTTTTTTTTTCAAACAAAAAATATACGTACAGAAGGCACGTTTTTGCACACATTCACGCATGGATGCCAGCAGCACCCCAGGGGAGTATAACGAGAGCATTAGTGCTGTTGTTCGCTCGTGAAGCTATCATTCTGTCGCCACCACCACAGAGGCCCCACGAGAAAGCAAAGACTCCAAACTTCCAAATGAAGAGTAAACGCATTCTAATACTCTCACGGACACGCAGTTGCAAACTCAGCCAACAACTTTCGGCCAACAAAAGTTTTTTGGACCAACAGCGTTCCCCCCTCACTCAGAGCACAAAATCTGGAGTGAGAATCGCTCGCTTATTGCGACAAGGTCCTTACGTGACCCTGGCGCAGGAAGCGTCGTGGATACGTCGCCACCCTTAGCCTCGAGGCCCGCGAAAGAGACACGACCTCCCTCAGCTCCTCCTCATCGTACCACGGCTCAGCCGCCGTCTTGGGTGGCGACGCCGCCGCGAATGCACTGATCTCCGCCAACGTTCTTGGAACGAACACCCGAGTCGAGGACGTCGGCGGCGTGTACGCTGTGCTCTTCGACAGTGTTGCCCGCTGCTCAGATGCATCCAGTGCAGCTGACGCGGGGTGCCGCTGAGACCTGTGCAACCCCGTTACCACCGTCCCCTTTCTAATGCCGTTGTCGGTACTGAAGGAACTGTTCGGCGTTTGAGAGCACAACGAAGTACTGTGACTACAAGAAGTGCTTTGCATTGCCCCTCGCCCTTCCAAAAGACGACTGTTACAGCTTTGACCTCTATGCTGTTGTTGTTGTTGTTGTTGTTGTTGTTGTTGTTGTTGTTGTTGTTGCTGTTGCTGTTGTAGACGCAGATCGGCTTTCAGCGCGGCCATTTCCTCCTGTTCTACAAGCCGGGGGCCAGCAGGGCTTAGCAATAAGCTAGAGTGGCCCTTCTCATGCAATAGCTGCTCCTTGAGAAAACTACCAGTTTCTTCTTTCGGGAAGCCCCCCTGCCACTTGGAGAGGTACAACATTGTCTGCTTGGCCGCGGATAACTCCTCCCGCAGGGCGGCAATGGTTTTTTCCTTCTCTTTGCATTGAAGCCGCTCCACCGCAAGGGCATCCTCCAACTCTGCACTGTACGTGCGCCACTTCTGCTCACTCTCATTGCTCAGCACCGTGCTTCTACGACGAAAACAAGCCTGCAAATTCTTTACTTGTTCCCTAAGCTCCGCGTTGCGGTCGTAGAGGCGGATGAGCTCGTTTCGCATCGCTTCCGCTCCTCCCACAGACTCGCTTTGGTGCGCTACCGGTGTGGCGTTAAGAGGCGATGCAGACCCGTTCGGTGGGGCGGTGCTGGCGCTGGATCGGTTGCTTGGGAAGCAAAACTGGGACTTCGACGGCGAGGGCGAGCTTTCAAGCCACGTGCGCCTAGTGGACAGCAGCGGCCCGACAGCCGCCTCCCGCACCCCAAAAGCCGTCGTCTCCGCCCCTTGCGCTCCTCCCCGCTCGCCCCGGTCTCTCGCCAGTGCGGCCTGCGACAACCGAGGCTCCATCTCTGCGTCTAACGCGGCACGCGCGGCGCCCCTCCCCTCCCACTGCACTGACAAGGCAGCAAAACAATCGCAGCGACGCAAAAAAAAAAAAGCATAGACCGACCGAGTAAGCGCCCAGCTCCTTACACATGAGAGAAGACGTTTTCATCACACGCACACACCAGCCAACCACTGAGCACACAAATAAATCTTGCTTGACCAGGCTTGGTGAGGAACTCAGGAAGCGGCGGCCTTTGGGATCCCGCAACCGTCGGAGCCTCTCGGCTTGGAAGGCATTAGCAGTAGCAGTGATGGGAGTTTCGGGGTGGGAGTACGCAGAGAGAAATAGACAATAAAAAAAAAGACGACACTCTCGCCAGCTTCCAACGCGGCGGCTTTGGAGGCAATAATCAAGCCATGAAGAAAGGAAATAGGTTTGTTTAGTAAGGCCTGCTATTACCTTTCTTGGCCCTATCTGGCAGCACATTTCATACAAAAGTTTCTAAAACAGAATAATAATAATAACAATAATAACAATTTTTCCTTCATGTTTTGCCCATATATATATATATATATATATACCGCTTGCAGCACTTCTTCGTTTGGCCGTCCTCGTCAGCTGCACGTCAAGCTAAACCGTGCGTACGCAGCAGAGAAGAGAAAGCGCCATGTGACCCCACACATGAGCGTCATGAATAATACGGCATCTATTCACGTACAATCACACACACACACACATACATACGGAGGGAGAGAGAATAGGAGGGATGCTCAACGCAGATCCATTACGCGACACACACACCTCCCATTTTTCTTCCCAAGCAGCCTGTCCTCGCTTCTCTTTCTGGCTATACGTGTGGGTATGTATGGCTACAAGGGACTCAATTCGTGTCGTCACTATCCTCATCAGCTTCCCCTTCGTACTCTAAAACTTTCCATCGACTCGCCCGCGAGGCCGGGACTACTCTGTTCCTCGTGGCACTATCATTTGGGCGAGAATTCCCCTGCGGCATCCGGGAATCACTGGCCGAACTCACCCTCTGGTAAACGTCAAACCTCGTTTCCGTACTAGCATCCTTGCTAGGGAGGATTGCATCCACAAAATATTTGTAATCTGCTCTGTAATCCTCCTCCCGCATTTGCGAGGGACGCGGTGGACGGTTGACGTGAACGCTGCGCTTCAACGCCTCAAAGAGATGCGTTGGTGAATCCGCCCCCGAGCCCACAGGAACCTCAGCCGCATTTCCCATTTTTGCTGGAGTTGGCATCTTGTCCTCTGGAGATGCACGCGTGTTTTCTGACATCAGCGCTTCCCGCATCGCCGACTTGGATAATGGCTGGCGCTCCGCCGCGTTGGCCCCTGTTGGTGGCTCTAGCGTGCTGCGCTCCACAGCATTCTTGGGCAGAGGCGCCAAATCCATATCGAGGGGGACGTCGACCCATCGTCGGTGCTGCGCATAAAACTCCGCCTGCATCTGTTGTACTTTTGTTAAAAGTGCATCGCGCGCCTCCGCAATGGCAAGGTCCCGCTGCACCTCATCCTCCGTACGAAGCGGAAAATCCACCGCATCCAAAACCTCCTCCTCACCCTCACCCGCATCACCTTCGCCGCTACCGCCGTCCTCGCCGTGGTTGCTCGCTGCGCCATCTGCGGACGAAGGAAGGGCAAACGTACTGGGCAGATTCATGCGGACAGTGGTGTAAATTCTCTCCACCTCATCCCTCAAGGAGTCCTTCGTGATGTCAAAGGGAGCCGGAGCGACGGCATGAACACTCCCTCCCCCATTCATCTCCTTGGTGGATTGAAGCGGGGCACCTGGAGCTGCGTCAGCCTTCCGTGCGGTTGCGGCAGCAGCGGCGTCTTCTTGCAAACGCCACTGAAAGTACAACGCGCGCCCCCGGCATGCTTGTGCATCAAACAGGCTCACGTCCACGTGCGCCACCTCACGTTTTTCGGCCTCTGTTAGCGGGTGAAAAAGCACGTCTCTCACGCAACGCGACACCTTCTCCCACGGATCGTCGTGGTCGCCTTCAGAAAGAGACGCCGCATCTAGTGGCGCATTAAAGCGTGCGGCAAGCAGCAGAATGTAGTTGTCTATGAAACTGTTGAAGCCCTGGCTAAATGCCGTCATGCCGTCAAGCTACCAGTTTCCCTCTTTCGTTCTTTCTTTATGTATGTGTGTGTGTGTGTGTGTCTGTCCTTCGGCGCAACCGATAAATGCAACAATAACAATCTACGCAGAGAAGCGGCACAAGCACTACACTCACGGCCTTTTTCCTCCCTTTTTGTTCACTTCTCTGTGCGGCCGGGAGCGATTGTGAGATAACAATGCAGCCGCTCCAAGTAACGAGGCACACAAACAAGAGGTAAGAAAAAAAAGAAGGAAATAAAAATAAAAAACAAACAAACGAGCAAACACGAACCAACCGGCCACCACGCCCAGAGGCCCAATCATGCTGGTAACAAAAAGAGGGCGTAAAGGGTCTGTACATGGATATATATATATATATCAACGGGCTAGAGAGAGAGAGGAGGGGCGTATAACACAGAAATATATAACAGGGTATAGACATTTACATTTAAATGCGGCAATAAGAATTGCCAACAGAATGTCTTCTTATAAAATCTGTCTCCAAGGAGTAGATTCTTGCAATCACCTAACATGTGCAGCTGCAACGTCCTTTGGCGCCGTAAAGCAATACAAGACGAGCCCAAGGGAACGGGGGGGTGAGACGTAGAACGCACACAGAAGTACACGAAAAAAACACAACGCAAAAAGAAAAAGTTAACATGCGTCTGTTTCCATATTTCTTTTATCGCGTTTTGGCCTTGCCGACTTTGTTTTCCCGCCCTGCTATGGACCGCGGCCGGGGCAGAGAGGGGGAGTGGCGAGGGTGCGAAGGACATGAGGCGCCGGCCACGCAGCCAACCCACCCACAGAGAAGGGGACATGTACATAATTCGTGGGGAAACAAACGTGCCTAGGAAAAGTTCGCCACGTGCAAATCCAAATAAAAAAAAATGAGAAACACGGGAAACACAAGCTCCCAAACTTAAAAAAAAAGAGCAAAATAAAAACAGTGGGGGAAAAAAATAAGCTTGAAAATAAAACTTAATAAAGTATACCTCCAGGCACCCACGTTGGGCCAACTGGAAGCTGCAATCCCTATGCCACTTTCAGCGCGTTCCCCCTCAGCACAGCGCCACGCAAACCATACACGAGAAACCGCGAAGAAAACAAAACATCAATCACAAGAAAAAAACAAGAACAACGCAAGCAAACTTCTTTCCGTAGGTAGACAATCAACCAACCCATAGGTGGCGACGAACGGAAAAGCCGGCCCCTACAAGGAGCCACTAGAATGGATTTCCTCCCCTCCCGTTATTTTTTTGTTTTTTATTATTCATGTTGCCTCTCCACCTGTTTTTCCAAAGATAGACACCAGACGCTATTCTTCTTTTTGCCCCCGCATTTTTCTATATTTTTCAACCCCATTAATCCATTCCAGAATAAAATTGCGCTTTTCCTGCAAACTAACACTCCCAATCTGTCCTAGCTTCAGTGAAGAGGTGCCATGGGCGAATGTAGTCCTCGCATTCCCAGGCAGTGAGGCTGCCAGCAAAAAAGAACTTGCATGGTCTCGTATAGAGAATGATTTGTACCGGCTTCCACCAAATGCTTCCTCCTTCCTTACTCCAACACTTGCGTCCACTTCAGCCACAACGGTATCGCTTGGGAAATCACGCTGAGGCACTGATGTGGATTGCATGGCTATTGATAAAAATTGGGAAGGAATTCGCTTAACAATGACAACATCACTACTCGAACTGTCCTTACTTTTTCTCCGTTCACCCCGCTTCCCTGAATCTTCCCGAGACATACGGCGAGAACTGAAAGAGTGCCTCCCAGAAGCTCTTCTGTGGCCCCTACTCCTATTATTATTGCTGCGGTCGTTCTCCGTATCATAGCAGTCCACAAAGCTTTTATTAGCTTTGGAATTTGCAGCAGAAGCTCTGAAAAGTGGCGAGGATGCACGAGAGAGAAGCTGAGAATAGAGTGGGAGAAAATCTATGCTATCCCACCTTTCCGGGACCGCTATGCAAGAAATGGTGGGGGACTTGTTCCTTACTGGCACCTCCGCATTCGCCGCAGGTTTATCGAGAGTCTTCGCAGCACCATTGCCTGCTGTTGGAGCTCTGACGGGTTGAGGAGTGGTGTCTCCATTGACGGCGGTGCGGGGCAATTGGCGTGGCAATTGGCGTGGCTGCGCCGGCGAGAGGGGCTTCTTTCCGACATTTTTCAACGAATTAGTCGGATTCTTTGTCAAGACAGCACCCATTACGCGTGGGATTTCCGATCCTGCGGCTGAAATATGGCGTAGGCGCCTGAACCCGTATGCCACACTTCCCCCTCAACCGAGGGGGGGGGGGGACGAGGGCGCCCAGTTTCTACTGACTGTCCTCCTATTCCTTACCGCACAAAGGAATATTAGATAGCCTTATTATACACCCACGCAATCCGCGTGTTCTCCCCGCGTGGGTGACGTGCTTGCCGAAGATTGAAGGAGATCCCTCGCACACTACATCATCCATTGAGGAAGCAATGAAAGAAAAGAAAAAGACAAAAAGGCAGAAAAAACGCCGGGACGGATGACAGCTGACGGCGTCGGAGGCTCAATTTTCATTCCTTCATTTGCGCCCGTCCCACGGGCCCAGCTCCTCCCTGAAACGACACAGACAAGCTCACACTCTTCCTGTAGTTCGTCTCCAGGAAAAGTAAAAACAAAAAATGATTCTTTTGCTTCCGTCGACTTCCCTCACCACCAGCCAACCTCTCCTCCTCTGCGTGAAGACACGTGTGGCACATCAACATTAATTTGGCAAAAAAAAGCGAAGTCAATCTAGGGGGAGGGAGGGGAGGAAAACAAAATAGACACAAAAATAATTCCTTGAACGCATTCCTTCGACTTCTTACCCTTCTTCCTTCGGAGAGAGAGAGAGAGAGAGAGTCCT